TTTTGCTATACTTCACAGTTTTTTGCAAGTTGGTTGATAATCTACTTTTGAGTTCATACAACTCAAAAAAGTGAGCTTGGCTTAACAGCAGTTATCTGAGTGTCAACTTGCTAAATTATTCTTTTTGTAGTTTTAGAAATGTGCTTTGAGAATCTCTTGTGAAAGACTTCCAAGAAAATAAAGGAACGACAAAGAACTGCGCCTCCTGTAGTTTGACTCAAGTATAAAATAGATTACATTGATAACCTGTGGGGTTAATACTGTAGATGTAAGATTGAGTAACATTTTGAATGAGACTTTTTTTAATTATTTTTTTTTTTACCCTCTAGGTCTTGATAGAGAAAGACTGGATCTCTTTTGGGCACAAGTTCTCTGACAGGTAGTTCTCTCTTCAATACACTAAAATGTATACAGTGGACTGAACTAAGTATTCTTAAAAAACAAAAGAAAACTTGCGGATGTTCAACTACAGCAGTGCTGCTAGAAATTTTGCAATGAGTAAGCTATTTTCAGTAGACAATGCACTTTGTGTATTGCTGTTTATTTAAACATCTATTGGATAATTGACTTTATAGTATAGACATGAATTTGTAGTGCTGCTGGTGCCTCACTCTGAGATGTCAATGACTGCAGCTAGGTCTGCATGTACGCATAGTCAGTGCAAAACCAATCTAAAGCTATGTCCCAGCTATTTAGGCAATATAAACCACTTAGTTTTGATATCTTTAAAAATAAGTATACATTTATGTATACTCATGACTTCATAATTATGAAGTCATGCCTACCTTTAGAAGTCTGGTACATTAAGAGTTCTCTTTTTTCCTTTGATCTGCCTATCATCAGCTATGACAATAGCTTGGCTTCAATTTTCTGCTTATTAATTTCCTTTTAGCTGGTCTATTCCAAAATGTTGACTATGAAAGTAATAGACACAAAAGAACTTAACTGCCTTATGTTGCTCCTCTGTACTGAGTACAGAGGTGTGATTACTTACAAGTCAGAAGAATAAGTTAAATATAGACCTGATTCTATTCAAAAATTGCCCCAGTTCTCAAAGTTAGGTGCTTAATCTCCAAACCAAAGCTAGTGTCAAATTAATGTGCTGTCACTTAAAAACAAGTGTGGCTAAGACTTTTTAAAAATTTTGAGCTTAAACTGGTTTCAATCTGTTTATGAATCTTTCAGGTGTGGTCAGTTGGATGGTGATCCAAAAGAGATCTCGCCAGTGTTCACCCAGTTCTTAGAATGTGTGTGGAATCTGACTGAGCAGTTTCCACAAGCCTTCGAGTACAATGAAGCTTTCCTCCTTCAGATCCATGAACATGTCCATTCCTGCCAGTTTGGTAACTTCCTTGGAAACTGCCAAAAAGAGCGAGAAGAACTAAAGTAAGCAGATGTGTTGTAATGTCTTTTGTTTAATCTGGCAGACTAAGAGCTCTGTGAATCTTCTTAATTTTAGGCTCTGAATAGAAATAGAGGCAGGATTGGTAGTACTGAAAATTATGCTGAACTGCATCAGGGAACAGCAGTGCTTCTTGTGCCTTTGCACACTGGTGACAGTCTTTCTAATTCTGAGAGAAAATCCCATGTTCATTTCTCATATGCAAAGTTAAGGCTTCTTTCTTCCTCCCCTGCCTGCCTTCTCTTCCTCTCTCCCGACCTTGTCCCCCACCTCCCCATGCGTACCCCCCCCCCAAAAAAAAACCCCAACCAAAACACAACACAACCCCTGCCCCCAAAAAATCAACAAAAAACCCCAAAAATAAAAAACCAAACAAAAAAAACCCCAACAACAAACCACAAAACCCACAATAAGGAAAAAACCCCACACACCCCGCAAAAAACAGGTAAGCTTAAGTTTGGAAGTATCACTTCATTCCCTCCCCAGTCTGTTCTTAGGTAACCTTGCCTGCTCAAGACAATTACTGTCAGTTGGAAGTATTAATAGGATGTCTCCTGGTGCTTTCAGTTGGAAAACTTCTGTAAAGTTTTCATTAGTTCATCTTTGTCTCAGACTATGTTTTAAAAGCATTTATTGCTTGTACATCATAAGCAGTGGTACTTCTAAAACTGACAGTTCTATCCAACATTAGCATATGCCAGGAAGAAGGTGATTTTACTAAGAACTTTTAATTCAAGATTTATAAGTATTTCTAGTAACTTTAGAAAAAGATAGGATCAGTTTATTATGTTGAGCTGAACAGCTTCTGTTTTTTGCAGTCAGTGTCTTGATCTTTTCTTGCTTTAAGAGTAAAGGAGAAGACATATTCCTTGTGGCCGTTCCTTCTGGATGAACAAAAGAAATACAAAAATCCTTTGTATAATCCAGACTTTTCTCCAGAATTAACTCTTTTGGAGCCTAATACAGTATCATTCAATTTCAAGTAAGTTTAAATTATATATAGTATCTCTCCTTCAACTTTGTTTTTATCCTGTGTAGTTAAATCTGTGCTTCATGCAGGTTTTGGAGAAATATGTACCATCAGTTTGATCGGAGTATGCATCCCAGGCAATTTGTGCTCAATCTTATAATGAATATGAGTGAAGAAAATAAACAACTGGAGGAAGAAATTAAAGACCTGGAAGCTGTAAGTATTACAAATTAAGTGTGTGTACTTGTTCTTCAAGTTCACACTTATAGTCTGTAATAATGCTGCTAGCTTTCACCTGAGTGTCACCACTGTGTGGCCCAGCACTTGTTCCATGTAATGTTGACTTTGATTTTACTATATGCCAGTGACTTTGATTGTACTTAATGCCAGTGTGCTCTTAGACACAATTTATTTTGCTTTACTGATGAACTGCACTATGTGAAAGTGCTCCTGCTATCAAAGCATTACAACTTAATGTGGGTTAAATTTATGTGAAACTTAGATAAAAAGGTACCCATCATAGCTACAGCTGTGTTGCTAAACTAAGGAGACTGAAAATATTTTATTTCCATTATAGCTACTGAAATGGAAGCAGTAAGTATTGTCCTTCTTTTAACTTCATATGAAGGTGCATGCTGTTGTAAGTCACCATAATTATGGGGCATATTCATTGTACTGCTTATTTGAAGACAGGGCTAAATCCAGACATCAGGTGTCTGTACATGACTTCTAGGTGCTAGAGTGAACAGCCAGGGAATATGATGAGCAGTATATGTCACTTTATTCTAGTATGATTTAATCAGTGCCCTTTAATTAAAGTGCTGAAACTAAGCATCTAAGAGATGCAGAAGTTTTCTAATTATCAGTTTTACTTCTTTGTGTGCTTAGAAATGGTTAAACAACTACTGTATGTTAGGCTGGGCAAGTGAAGAAGTACAGCTTTTCTAGGAGGAAGGACTTCATTAAACTGATCCTACTGTAATGTAATGAATGCAGGTCACTTAAACAGTTTCAAATCTTAATTGTATAATTAAAAGTTTTTGTAAAATTGAAGAAAAATGAAACCTCAAGGTATTAATCAAGACATTCAAGACTGAGACTTCACTTTACTGAAGAAATGCTTGTTCAGGTGAAGTTGAGTGATGAAGAAATTGAATTGTTTGAAATCTTGGTGTAGAGGTTGCTACTGCTGTTTTAATCTTCAAAAAGTTGGTGCCAAAAGATAGTAAAGACTTCGGGGCTCAGTCTAAGTTTTAACAGAGCCCAGACATGTCAAGAGAAGAATTAGTTCAGTTAAGTAGCTCAAACTCCCAGTTACTGGACAAGATTGAATTTAAAAAGAAAGAAACTACAAAACAAACAAAAGCCAAAAGCAAGCAAACAAAAAATCACAACAAACCAAAACAAAAAACCCCCACCTTAATCCAAATCTTTCTTCTCTTGCTCAGTGCTCCCAGGGTAGGTCCTTTCCTCTAGTCTTGCTTTCTTTTTGACATCTTCAGTGTATTCCTGCATTTGAACAAACTGTATTGGCATTTTTCAGATATAAAGGCGGCCTTTCACAAGGCTTTTAGGGAGGACATAAGAACTTAGGTACAAAATGACTTTTTGTCTTTAGGAGACTTGTGGTCTACTACAAGCTTGGTGCATGCTAATAGTGCAAAGGTTTGTCTTTCTTTGTCTGGACTTAGAAAAGATTCCCATCTTGGTAAGCAACCAACCAAAGGGCAAGCCTGGAGAAACTTCTCTACAGACATTGAGAGGAAACATTTCTGCCTTCTGCTCAGCTGCAAATTTTAAGCATACAGAGCTTGTAGCATCTGCTGTAAACTGTTGGGGGAAAAATATTGTCTTATCCAGTGGCCTGAATAGGGTAATACTGTTATGTATGTAACTTAAGGTGTATAATAGAGGGCTCTGCAGATGCTGAGTTGGCCAGGAAAAGAAGTGGATTTACTTCCTTTCAAAGTAGATTATCAGTAAAGCAGTGATGCTCACGGTTGGTAACTATTTTCTGTATTTCAGAAAATAAAATGGAGAAATGGGCAGTCAGATGCCACCCTTGTGAAGGAACACCAGCAGCCTGTTCATCCTGTACCCACTGCACTGAAAACTCCTCCGTGCTTCAAGAAGGAGCAGCCGCTGATCCCGGTGAATGACGCTGTAAGAACTATAGAGGGCAGCAACCCAGCGGACAATCGCTACACTGAATTCGTGGAAGAGTTCTCGAAAGCTGAGCCCGCTGTTGTCAGCTTGGAGTACGGAGTGGCCAGGATGACCTGCTAATAAAATCCGGCCCTGTGCTCATGTGCTGCATGACCAAAACATGATTTGTATATTGGCAAGTTTTGTTAACATAGACTAGAACAGCATGCTAATTGTCAAGTGTTTGCTGTTCTTTTAAGGGGGGAAAAAACAAGTGTAGTTGTGTTTTAAAAGAAATAGGGGCATTTGGTAAGTAGTGACTAAAAATCAAGGAATGCTGTGTCTTTGGACTTAAGTGAGTTTGCACTAAGTTGATTGAAATAGTAATATTACTTTATTTGGTAGGAGAACACAAGTGATCTTTCATGGATTGATTTTATTCGGGCAAGAAAACTTGAACTTTCTATTTTAGGAACTGAAGCTACATGTATATATCACATAGGATATGAATACCCTTGTTTAATATCACCCAGTACTGACTTTCAGTGTAGTAAGTGCCATGGAAAAGTATGCTATATTTCAAATCATAAATATTTGGCCTTAAACCTTTCAGATCAGTGATACTGTTGTTCTTTACTGCAGTCTACCTGGTTCTGTTTACATCATATTTGCTCAAATTATTTCCTTAAAACAGGACTGAATATAAGGAATGAAGCATGCCTAAGCTGGCACAGCCTTTCAGCAAATAGCTGTATGAATGTTAATTTATCACTGAAGACTGTTCTTTCTTCCAGTTCCCGTGTTGTTTAAAATTTAATAGTTGGCCTGATTTTCTTCTTTAGCAGCTCAGTGGATTGAGCAGCATTGAAGCTACAGGTTGTCTGACCTTAAATGTTTTGATTGGTGGCAAGGTATTTAAGTGTAGAGTAAAAAGGGTAAAACATGTCACATAAGAAAACAAAACTTAGCTAGTAACTGAATAATCCGGTTCCTTCAGATTGAGCAACTGCACAGCACATAGTAAACAGGTTGCAAGAATGGAAGCAGAAATTTTGGAAGTGTCGTCTACTGACATTGTTCCCAAGTACAAAACAAGTAATTCGTATGCCTGAAGCTCGCCAAGAAACTTGAGTGCCTCCTAAAAGTTTCTTCTAATGAAGGATTGTTACTAGTGAAACCCCCTTCTTGTCTTATAAAAACTTGTCCAACCTATGCGTAGTTTAAGTAATTTCAGTGCAATCTGGACATGGGACATAAAAAGGGGGGAAACTGCAGTTTGTACGCATAATTATGTATCTGTAACCTTTAGTAAGGGAGAAGCTTGTCTCATGGTGGACTTCCTGAGCAGACAACAAAGAGTGAAGAAAAATGCCAATGCCCAGTTCTTAAATAGAGATATAAATTACAACTTGGGGTATCGAGATCCTTAGATACGATGTTAGATTAATGCTACTGAACTTTTATCTCTGGATTTAAATAATTTTTGGTTACAAATGAAAGAGTTTATTGTTATCCTAATCCCTGAAGTCTGGTGTTTTTGTTTTGTTTTGTTTTTAAATTACTGGTGTGCCACACACTATTTGACATAATTGGCAGCGTTTCCCTCTGCACTGTATTGGATCCAGGGCTCTAATGAGGCCAGTATAGGTCATGATCAAGTTGCACTTGTGAAGCTGTCTGGTAGAAGTTAACTTGAGTTATTAATTAATCTGCTTCACTAACTTGTTTTTTAAAAGCCTATAAGTGTAAATAAAGGTTCATAAGTATTTTTGTTCCCAAAGATATGAGCATAGTGTCATCTTCAAAATACATTCTGCAGTCATTTAAACATGTTTAGAATTTCTCCACTACAGGTTTTGGTAGTTTCACATTTGCACAGTGGTGCCTTACAGGGTTGCAGCAAGAAAGGTTTTTGTGCCTTGTTATTTATTGTCTCCCCTTTTCCCTCACCTTCTGTATCAACTTGGTTCTGTGGTTTTCCTTTGGAAAAACATCCTGTGTATTGCACTTGTATTGTATCACAGTAGTGAAACAAATTTATCGCTGACAATATAGGTAAGTGTTATGAATTTGTATTTGTTTTTTTTAATATTTAGCTGCTCTGGTGTGCCATGTACATTTTTCATATTTATTGTTTAGAGTTTATAGACTCAAAATATTAAGCTTTTTTGCAAATACTATTGTATGTTGTTTTTACTTTAACAACCGTCTGAGTGCCCCTGTATTTAAGGCTTTTGAGGAGAAGACCTATTCCCTTTCAATACTGTTAAAATGAGTTTATTTCAGTCTTCAGGCTCTTTTTATTGGCAGAGATCACTTCTTACTGAAAGGAATTGGGATGTCTTTGTATTTCAAATCAAGGTAGGCATGTTAGGTCAGCTTTAAAAATACTGTAGGACTATGTGCTCAGGCATAGAATCTGTTTCTTCATCAAAAAATACAATACTTCCTGTTTGAAGTAAATATTTTACCCAGTTGATACGTAGTTAATATATGAACAGAGTTTTACATGGCTGTTTTGTAGAGCAGCCTTCTTATGAAGTCCAGGCAGTTCTGCCAACTCAGCCCCCAGGGTCACCAGTGAGAAAAGTTCCTGCAGAGTGCAGCTGTCTCTTCTCATTTGCTGTTCTGGCTTAAGCCAAAACTACCTAAAGTACATGAGACCTGTGGTGAAGTAAATAGATGGTAGCGAGGTGAGCTCCCACTGAAAGCTTGGCAGCATGGCCAGGACTCATGCAGTGGGGCTGCTCTGTGTCCTTCAAGAAGTAGTAGAGTTTAAAAAACATCAAACAGACTGACTAAAAAAACTGGCAGAAACCTTGTGGAAGCAGAAAGAATCTGAATTCTTATTTCAGTGGATGAGCTTCTCTTCATCATGAGCCGTTACAACACTGAAAGGTGCCCGGTACTGGTCAAAATAATGCACAGAGCTCTCTCATGCTGCGGCTCTAATGTGTGGCTGGCACACTCACCAGTTGTGTGGGAATATAATGTCCCACACAAAGTTGTTACAGTTGGTTCTGCTCCACTGATTGCAAGACTTTAGCACCTGTCAGTTCTGTGCTGCTGCTTGAGAAAATCTCAGTAAAGCCTTTGGGTTTCTACATTTTGTGCTGTGCTTGATCTCTTTTCCAGTCTGAATGCTATAAAAGAGGAGTAATTCCTTTTAATTAACTGAGCTGATAGTCTCACCTGAACAACTAAAAATTATTTCACTTTGTACTCCAGGCAACTTATTTCATTAGTACCGAAAGAGTTTGGATTATTTTGGGGAGGCTTGCTATTGTCATAATGTATTCTTCAATACAAATTTAAATATCCAACTGTTTTGCTTTGTAGGATGGCTGCCAAATCAACAGACTAAGAAATTAATTAAGCAACACTGAACTGAGCCTGTGCATTTTCCACACATGTCCAATTACCAGTGACCTAAATCTAGGGCAAAAGCCTGAAGTCTGGAGAGTCCGTTTAGAGAACTGGAAAAACAGTCCTTCCATAAAACTGCACATTCTTATGTGGAACAAATGTCCTAATATAATGTTGTTTTAGATGGAAAGCTATCACAAATCAAGCTGTCAGTTTGTGCCTCTTACTCAGGTTAAGCACACAGAGTGGGCCTTGCTGGGAAAGGTGATGTGTGCTTCCTCTCTAGCTGCTGCTTTCCTAAGGCCTTTTGATAAATGAACACATCAGCAAATCTCTGAGAATTTGCTACTCCCATTCTGGTAAATTAAGCATGTAACTGGATGCACAGTTGGGCTGAAGGTAGGGCTGGGGTAGCTTGGCTTAACTACTATCCTCTTAAGGAAGTGATATAAATAATATAAAGAAATTTGGCACATGCTATCAACATCTGTTCGTGAGTCCTGCCCTGCTCCTGAGCAAGTGTGGGTAGCATGAGGGCCTCGCATGAGCATGATGACTTGCTAGTTAGTTTAAAGATAATCTGATTTCAAACTAGATCATCCTTCTGCAGTGCTAATTTCTGGATCTTTGGGTTGGAACTTAAGGGCTGCTCTTAAAGCTTTTGTTTAGTTGCTAACAGTTCTGAACCTGTAGCTGATCATAGGCTAACAACTATACTGGCTGTGGAACCTGTATTAACCTTTAGGATTAGGTCTTTAGATTAGACTGAAGTCTGCTTTGTCTTGCTTTTACCATTTATGCCACACTTTCCTCCACTTGTTGCTTATTGTGGTGCTTGATACCTGACATTCAGATGTAACAGGCTTCTTAATGCTTTGGATGTTTCAAAAGCCTGGAGGTACTGCAGTTTTCTTCCGCTATTCTGAAGGCTCAGATTTGTGAACAGTATGGGTGAGCTTATGTTTGATCTAGCTAGCTTGACCTGCCTACATGTTAAATAGCATTGAAAATCAGCACGGCGTCATAATTCAATTGTGCAACTTTTGTATGCACAATAGGCTTAAGGAACAGGATGTAATCAGGGACCCCTGTCACAGTGTGTAGCAAGGAGCAGGACCCTGCTGGGGTATGGCTCATAAAAGGAAGAAGCAGTAGAGCTGTTTTGATGTCCAGCAGCAGCTCAGGCACTGGAAGTGGGAGGTCAGAGGCACGCTGCTTCTGAGATCAGTTGCCAGGCCCCAGAGAATTCAGTGACCTGGTCCAGTAAACACGTGTAGCTGAGCAGTTCTGCACTGGCATTAGGTAATAAATGTCCTGAGGGTGACTTTGAAATTGGGGTGCAAACTATTGTTTATAGTTTAACTCTTGAGGTCAGTTGTATACTGCTTATAATTAAGTGATATTGCTGTTGTTGACAAGTCTTTCCCACCTTAATGACAAGGTTAGCATGTACATATCTCCTGCTTTGTACCTCTGCATATATTTCTGCTGAATGCTTTTCTTGCAAGTGGGCAGTCTTGGTGAAGTCCCATGCTGCCAATTCCTCCTTCCCATTACAGATGGGTTTCCTTGCTCTCTCTTACTGTTACTCTTCAATCTTAGTTTATCTTTACGGCTGTCTGTTGGTAATGTCCCTTGACAAACATCTTTTCATCAAGGAGAACGGGTTTGTTTTTCTGCCTCAGGGATTTTTACCCCTGAACTAGTGAACTTGAAAAATACTGCTTATTCTCCCTTTCAGGGCTTCCGAGTGCCTGTTGACTTCCATAGTCAGT